TAATAATAATAATAATAATAATAATAATAATAATAATAATAATAATAATAATGATCTTAACGTATATTTTTAGCTTTTTATTTACAACAACGGTAACATGCTCACATACTGGTTTAATAATAAGCATTAAAAGGGTCAATATGTTACAAGGTTACACATCTGAGGCAATAAAATAAACCTGTTTGACCTTTTTTCCACACCTCAATAAATGATTGCACAGCAACCAGTGGCAAAGATAAGCACCTTCTACCCCGAGAGACCGCATGATATACATATGCATACATACAGAAAAAGCTGTGAAAGTTAGCAACACTTCAAAAACTGGGATAAACGATCAAACCTATTAACTGGACTGACATAGATGTAAGAATATAAGATATAGTTGCTTATATTCCACACCATATTAACGCCATACAGCCTCACTTAGATGTGGAAGACGATTTATAGCTGACCATCTGTTTGTGTCATAAAATCTTACCCTTTTACATAAAACAAACACATTTGTGAAATGCAATTGGCACAAATGCAACATGCAGTCTTGCTAGTAATGTGTCAATTACTTTTTAATGTTTAAATGTTAAACCTGATGACTTTCAAAGCAGACCTGCAGTTAATTTCACGGTAACACGCTGTTTAACAAATTGCCACAGTCAGCACGTACAACCTATTTCAATGATCCTTCTCCCGTTTTATTTCCCAGATGAGAAGGTGGAGTGAAAGCAAATCAGTGTGATGGCAAAAGCAAACGCTATTTAGTTTATAGTTTGTATTCGTATTCCTGCTGAATCCAGCAAAGACAAGATGCAGTGAGTCAATACAAACACAACGGCTGAACGTATCAATCATTAATCAAAGGATTCGTTAGGAGCACTTGGAGAAGCAGAGACACAGAACGGGATTTTAAGTTCTAAATGTGGGTCTTGCACAGACGTGAATAACCTGTGATCTCACCCCACAAAAATGTGGTGAAGAAGATTAAATGCATTCATTAAATGTTTTTTTAGTCGGTCAAACAAAAACCAAATAAAATGCACATTTTCACAGAAGTAAGGACTTGGTCTGTAATCCATTGCTGCGTATACAAACACTACCCAGGCCAGCTATGTGTTTATGGTTACAGCTGTTTTGCTTGTTTTAATTCGAAGCAAACTATACATTTTGGAAGTTTGGATAGTTTATTAGAGCCATGTGAGGATGCTACTTTGGAGTCTGGGCATTTCTAGTTATTTCTTACTTCTTAAAATGTTAAATGCTTACTTAAATAAGCAATTAAAATAGCCATTGTTGCTGTTGCCACAATTTTGAGTGAGCTAGCCAAATAGAAAGAGGGAATGATTGCTGGTGCAGAGACAGGACCTTGAGATGATTATGAACCCAGCAGCTCATTACTGCTTTGCTTAAACTGTAAACACCAGGCACATTTAGAGTAACTAGTTGTTTCAGTGGCCGCTTGTTTATGTTGACCCTGATAGGGGTTAAACTTTACACGTGGACGTTATGCAAGGATAACCAGTTAACAACAGAATAAACAGATCTAATACTTCTACACATCACATCACACTACATCACAAGATCTTCAGTTTGCAGATAGGTATAGTCACAGGTGTATCAAAGCAAACAACTCTCATCACTACTTCACTTTGTATCAAAATGTGAAAAAAAAGCCCTTGGATGCATCATGGGTGCCATTTCCACAACAAAAAGTTCAAATTAGACTGATAAAACTAATGTAATCAAAGAGGTGATGTCATCAAACAAATGTTAAGTCATCATACAGACCTTTAAGTTCCAAAACGTCATCATCATCACCAGTGATTTTCCCAGCTCATTTGGGGGTTTTAAGTGAATCTGAAGTTGGAAAGACACCAGTCTATTTATTAAAACCACCCAGTCACGTGTTACCAATTATAAAGACGCAATTCTGGAAAAGTGTTGTGCTGACTTTTTCATTTTAGTATCGCTGAGGTGTTGCACTCTGTAGAGAGCATGTGTCCAGATTTGAGGACACATTATCTGGCTCAGTTTTAAAAATAAAAATTAAAAAGATTTGGGGCAGTTGTCCATTTCATTATATCTGGGAAGAGAAGAGAGGGCGTTTTTTTTTTTAACACCAGCGTCTCGCTTATAAGGTAGTTGCCCCAGGAGCTCGAGTCTGTCAATAGCCGTGTGTATGTGTCTGCCCCTCCCACCCTGCTTTCGTGAAGGCCTCTGTTCATTATTTGGTGCTGATCCGCTCAGGAGCTGCTACCCGCCAGGGAGAGACGCACCGGGAGCCACCGCACACAAACGCGCCGTCAGAAAATGTCTGTGGAGAAAGTATTCGACGAGCTCGGACATTTCAAAAGGTACCGTGAGGATTGGCATGTTTTCTCTATAGTCAGTTGTAACTTTACATTTTCTTTATTCTTTATTTGAGTGGGGGGAATTTTGTGGTAGGAGGCACCAACTTTAGAACCGTAAATATTACACATCCCACTTCACATTGCTATTTTGAAAACAAACACTATTGAAAGTGGGAGATGACGTAATTTGTTTTACAGCAATGATACGGTATTTTTTTTTTACCTATACAGATATATCCATGTTTCAAAAAGGGGGTGGACATTCGCTTAGAGAAACTTTTGTCACCTCTTTGTAATTTTGAAAAATAACTAATTACAGTTAGAAACGGGCCTGTGTATCTTTAGGAGACACATGGTTAATGTATTTAAACTATAAAGTTTATATATTCGTTTTTAGTAGGCTTTTTCAAAATGACTTAATAAACACACCTAGAATTATT